TAAAAAACACTTTTTAATCCAGTTGTCCTCTCTATAAATCTTCAGCAACAGATAAGAGAAAAGATGATATCTTTGTTGGGATCAAAACACTACTGGAATACAATTTTTTTTAATTCTTACCATGTGTTCCATGCAGATGCTGATTTCTCCATCGCTGTAAAAAGCTCCATAGAAACCCACAATGTAGGGAGAATTACACTCGTGTAGTACCTGAAGCTCTCTGATGATCTGGTTTCTTATTGCAGGTTTTATTTCTAAATGTATGAGCTAAACACAGAAGAAAGGTGTTATATTAAATGGGTATCAAAGGGTGAACACTAATACCAGAAAGATCAACTCAAGTATAAAAGACCCAGCAGCTTTTTGTTTTATAATTGCAAAAGCTCACTTTTCTGGCCATGATTATGCCTGAAGGTTTGTGGCACTCCTTGTTGACCACTCCTCCGTTGCCTGCACCCAGCTCACAGATACGATGGAAGTCATCATCTTTCAGCTCGCCAACCTTGGCCTTCTGGGTAAGGAAAGCTTCTAATCTTTTCTTTTGTTGTTCATCCAGGTCCAGCTCCTCCAGTATTTTCTTCAGCGCTTCTAAATTGGCCCTGATAAAATTAAGAGACAGTTTAGAATAACATATTTTCAAACAACTGCAAAATTTTAACTCAGCAGGTCAACTTACTCAGATGTAATCTCTGTATTCATGGAGGTGGATAATCCATCACTAGCAGGAGCAATGTTTAAGGGCACTGGTCTCTTTTTAGGAGCCATGTTTATTTGAGGGTAAAATATGAACTTGGACTGAGTGACACTTTCCTCTACAGCTACAGATGATAAGATCCTGTAATCTATATGATTTAGAAATTGCTGACAAGGTAAGGGGCCTGTGATTAGCACGTGCAACTTTGGGAGGTTAGATAATAGACAAACACTGTCTTGTAGACTAGATGCTATCTACTTGACGTTTTCTGTTTAGCTGTTACCAGGTAGGACAGTTAACCTGGCTAAACTTACTTAATTTGTGTCTTCAAATCAACGCCGGCTTAACCTGTGACTCAGCTTAAATCTAATTTACTACAAGAGCGACACATCAAATTATGAATACAAATACGGTAATATAACACCAGTCTTAGCTAGCTAGGTTAGTGTTAGATGAGTAGACGTAGCACGACAACTAGCATAATGGTCACCGCACTTGCACCAAAATGTAAATGTCCAATTAATCGAGGATTAACTAGCTACAACGTAAAGGCAAAAAAAAGATTTTCAAAGCTAAAGCCATAACTATCAGCACATACACGTTAGCTAGCTATCTAACTAACTTCATCTGCTAGCTGTTGCGTGACAGCCGCACATTTCACGCGAGTCGAAAGCAAGCGGATGTTTGTTCACTTTTCTTCCGGTGACTTCCCCCTTTGTTTAAGTTAGAAACATTAGCTTAACTGGCTGTTTTATCCCAATATCTTCTTTCAGCGGGGTAGGTGTGTTATTGCTGTAGACACCGGGGTCTAGTGTCTTCAGCAGGGACGATCACGGTGGCGCGGTGCAGTCAAGACTGAGCCTTAAGTAGTCCAGAGTAGCAATCTCGCGATATTTTAGACAGCTGCGCGAGCAGCAGTATGAACCATCGACGGTATGAACGCTGACTTATATAGATACTTAATGCTTCCAACAGATACCAAAGCATACGTAAACAGATGGCCGAATGAAATGAAACTCTTTAGTAAAAAAGGAAAAATAAAAATAATTAAACAAAACCCGTAAATTAGTCTCGTTATTTGATCATTTAAATTTAATTCGATTTTTAAAAAACGTATTTTATTTTATCGCTCTACTTGTGTATTTACATTACATTTTTTAAAACGTGCAACCTTTTGTACAAAGGACTTTAGCGAATACATGCTGTGAGGGCCTTTTGTTTTGTAAAATGGGAAATAACAAAGTTGTAAAAAATATTGTAAAATAATAAAAAAACAAAAGATTTAAAGTTCATTCTATTTGTTAACCTGCCTTCAAAGACATATGGATCTATCTTTGAAGGCACTAATAACACTTATTTCTTTAGAACACTATCCGGAATGCAGGGTTTTCAAATATTTATTTATATAAATAAATAATCGTGAAGCTGATGGTACTGCTTGAAAGTCTTTCGGATCTATAGCCTTCCAAGCTGCCTGTTTGATTGGCTAACAATTCATCCATTCACCTGAAGCACAAAACGGAGGCCTGAGACTTTCTATTGTGACTGCGCTTCTTTCTCGGATTACCAATGTACATTACCGTGCGAAGGTCTCAAGCCAGCCTTCATTTCTTTATTTCATCCTTCCACGCTGCCAGCCTTTCTTGTATTTATTTATTTTTTGTTATTTTTTTTAAGTTATCATGGGCAATAATTCTCCAGACTTTCGAAAGACCCTCTGTTTTTTCTTTGGACATTGGTTGATTTTTCACACAGGTTTGGCCAAGTTGTTGTACCTGACCATTTTCAGAAGACTATGTATCTGTTTTATGGTATTAAGTAGTGATGGCCAAATGAAGCTTTCCGAAGCACTGAAGCTTGTATTAAAAAACGGTTCATTACTCGAAGCTTTTCAACACAGTCCTCTCCGGTGACATCTGGTGGTGAAAATTTTGAAGAGCAGCTTGAATCTGCAAAATAAAACGGACTGCTCAATCATCGCTGCTCACTCAAGAGTGGAGTTCTCTCTGATATTGGGCCACCGTTCCGTTGCTTTGAACATGTAATTGGTTTTGTTTTCTCGATTGGGGGGGCTGAAAAAAATGTAATGCGTATTTGCGTAATACATTTTGATCAATAAACTTTCCCTATTTAAACATGCACTATGGTGTGGCCTTTCTTTGCTCATAACTCCTTGATGTTGGTAAATACAATAAGTGAGCAATATATATAATATACATATGAGAATGCACAGCACATTATGGAGTATGCCCCTGCTGTGAAGTCCTGCCTCCATCTACTTGTCGTTTAATCACTGGACAGCTGGACAGGTTCATACAAAATATTAGATGAGGCCAATTGTCCTATACATATTTTTGACCTAGGGGTGGGATTGATTGTGAACTGGAAAGGGAAAATGCTTAGGGAGCTGAGTACGGCTGCATCGTCACTGATTTGTAGAATCATTTTTGATTCGATACAGGATCTGATTCAATTTGATTGGAATCTGGAAAGTTTTGCCTCAGTCAGAAATATTACAATTCTGATCATTTAACAGTATATATCCATAATTTCGTATCTATTAAAAGAAAGCTGACACATGTGAGACTTAATTAGAGATGTAAACAGAGAGTTATGAAACCTGCAGCTGCAGAAGCCAGCGGGAAAAAAAAGAGGCAAACACAGCGCGACCCGACGACGCACCAAAATCTGACTCTGACGCGTCGGGTCCGCGCTCTGTGTTTACGTTTGTATGCAGAATCCGTAAACCTGCTCCCAGTTACTGTTTTAGCTGTATGGTGTTTGACGACATGTTGTGAGGTTTAACCTGAGATGCTGGCGTTTCAGGCATAATAACGTTAATTTACAAATCGACACGGGATTTTAATGAATCAATATCACTTTATTCAATTTAGCATGGATTGTAATCAGAAAGGCGATAATCAAAACCCACCCCTAATCAAGAACTTGCAAAGTAAAAACATGCTCTATGTCAGGTAGCCCTTTTGTTATTTACATTTAAAAAGAGGATTAGTGTTACTGTGCGCTGGCTGAGTCTGTTTCTTTTCTTAGAAATAGTTTCTCCTGCCCTGGAGAAAATCCACTTGCATGGAACAGAAGAGGCTGTGGAGTGCAGGAACTACACTGCAAGCTGGTAGATATGCAGGTATTCCTGGGTCCTGCAGACTATCACCTAAAAACAATAAACAAAATGATTTTCTAAACTGTAGCAATGTAATGTACGTATAGTGTCAAATACATTTTTGTAGTCTTCATTAGCTTTAATTCACATGGAAGTGTTCCTGAAGTCATATGCTGTAATGATATTTACATTATGAAAACATGATTTTGGACATTTCAAGTTTTTCACTTCGGCAGATAAAATGAATTGAGCAAAATCAACTCAAAATATTCCCACACGCCAGAATGTCCTCTCTTCCTCGCTGGCTCCATATCTGTCAGTGGAATGATCACCTCTTCGCTCTCTGTCACCATCAACACACTCCACGAATCCCGTGGATGATTCACTTCCTTATATCCGTTTGAATCAGGTACCGAAGCAGTTACGTGCGTAATGAAGCTTCGGACGTCACTGGTCACGTGACTTTTGCCAAACGAAGCAAGCCTCGACACAGTGCTTCTGAACCAGTGTGTTGTTTTTTTCGACACACGCTCCGGAGCGTCAGCTTCAAGCGGGCCATCACTAGTATTAAGCCATTTAACACTGACCTATGAATTATGGAAGCAAAAAAAAGCACTTTGAAACCAGTGTAGTGTCTACACATTGTAAGAGCTATTAGCTCAAACACAGCATGTCAGCATGGTGTGCAGTGTGTTCTTCAGAGAAAAACAATTGAAGAAACAAATGAACACAATCTGAAAATTATGTCTTTAGTGGAACACTGGAAGTGATGGATTTTCCTCATCAGAATCTGGACCACAGCACTGGGAACAGAACAAAATACAGCCAACAAACAAAAAAGAAGAGCTTGAATATTGTTCAAGAACCCTGGAGAACTATTCCTAAGAAAGCTTAAAAGAGTTCAGGACATACTGAAAAATAAGGGTGGTACCACTTTCAGGCTCTTTAGAATTGTGCAAACTATTTTTGTATTCCGAATGTATTTTTACACACGTTTCAATAAATCTGATTTTCCTAGCACAATATAATGAAATGAGGGGTGTTTTTCTAAATCAGCAAAAACTGGACAGACATGAAGACTTATCAAATTAGGAAAATCTATTTCAAAACCATCTACACAATTTATTTTTTGTCTATATCATTGTGAGATGCAGTTTATTTTAATAAATGTTGTAAATACAAGAGTGCATAAAAATACATTCTGAAAAACAAACAGACGAACAATCAAGTAGGCCAAAAACAAAAGCACCATTTAAGACTCTGGATGGAGAAAGTGTAAACCCAGGAATTTAAGTATATCACTAATTCTGCATGACAAGAACAAAGAAGCTCAGTTAACTTTCTTCAGATTAACCTCTCACAGTCCTACAGACACATCTTAAAGCTAACGATACATGTAGTTCATCTTCAAATGCATGTGGTCCTTCCACACTTGCTGTGTGATTTCCTTTCAGTAGATGGCACTCTAGTTCACTTCTTTGAAGCCTTCAGTTGCATCAGGTCGGGTTGAAAGAGCTTCCTTTGAACAGCAGGAGAAGCTTAAAGATATAAAGAGAAACGAAGGCAGAATGAACAGATAAATAAGAATGGCTAAAATACACACACACAAAAAAAATGCTGCGATTCAGTTGGCTCTGAAGAATTTTTGCTCCTTTTAATTAAAATTTTTCTGATGCGAGCCAGTGTGTTTATATATACTGCATAATACAAATACATTAGTAACAGACTTATTATCAAAAGCCGGATCCTTTAATTTCAGGTCATGGTTATAGTGTACTCCCATCCACAAACATTACGCCATTAAAATAAAAGGGAAATCTGAACTCGGTACGTCCATCAACAGCATACCGTCTGATGTGTTTGGTCTGGATGAGAAGGTCAGGGAGTTTGCTGTTTCTGGTGTCTGGCAACAACATGCTAACGGCAGCAGCCATAATACTGGCTGTGCCAAAAATGATGTAGGGAAGGATCTTGCTGTATAGACCTGCAAGAAAAATAAAAGGCATTTAAAATGGAACGATGAGAGATCTTTTCACTGTTAAAAGGATTTCCACATCATGAAGATGTGCACAATACACAAGCATTAAGAATTATATTACAACATTTACAAATACATTTAAAACCAGATCAATAACGCAATATACTGGCAACAAAAAAACAAAACGGAAAAAGGGAAAAATGGTGTTAGCACATTCTCTTGTACACAATAATGGAAGGAGGTCAGGTTACCAAGATGTATTTCAGAAATAAAAAGATATACAGAGTCCAGAGAAGATGAGAAAACCATTGGGGAAATGAATATACAAAATTGTAACCAACTAAAAATAATTTCAAGAGAGGTGGAAAACAGACTTCCTTAATCAAACCACTTAAATCACACATGACAACTCTAGGTCACAGTAGAAATGAGGATGAGGCCTCTGATAATAACTGCATGTATAGTGTTATTTATTAAACCGTCAATCCTAAAGTGGACTTTGTCATTTGAAAGTGGCCTCTGTTGATTTTACACATTAAGGTCAATTCTGTTGTCACGGCTTCCTTCACTCAGGCTCATGAACTGCAAACCTATTACAGAAATCATGATCAAACCAGGATGCAATGTTAGGCTGTCCAATCAAAGTCCATCCATCCAGTTTCTTCTGCTTATCCGTTTTAGGGTTGCTGGGAGACTTAATTATCATAGGGTGAGACAGACAACCATAGATGCTTCACATCTAGTTAGCCTAACCCCACACATGTCTATAGACTGTACGAAGGAGCCAGACTACCCACACATGAGGAAAATGTACCGACTCCACACAGAAATGCCCTAACATGGATATAACTCTTCTCGCTGTGAGCCAGCAATGCTAACCACTGCCCCTGTTATCAAAGTGAAACACTAACTGAAATACTAAAATGCCAGATTAGCCCCGAACATGGATATTGTTGCTTCAGCTTTGATGCCCATGCACCTCCCCTAAGCTCTCTGACCGAAAAACAAAAAGAAAGCACACTTACCCATGTAAAGTAAATAAGGACATATGATAGCTCCTATTCGTGCAGCTGTGGCGCAGATCCCCAAGCCCATGTTTCTGACCACAGTGGGCATCAGCTCAGTGAAAAACACGTAGATAAAGCAGTAAGCAGCAGATACACCAGTCTTTCCCACCAAAGCCAACACCTGGACCATGATGGGCATGTCTGGAAAGAAAAAGGCAGTGATTAGAAAAAGTTTAAACAAAGTGCTAATCTACCGAGTGTTCTAGTTAATTCCTGGCACTGCTAATATTGTACACATACCTTCAGGAACCAGCTTTATAACCAGAAGCATGATTCCGCAGAACATCAGCGTGGTGAAGAGTAAAGTGGGCCGTGGAGCCCTATCAATCAGAAGCCAGGTGGCTACATACACAACAATGTCAATGGCTGCAGAAATGAAGCAGTTGAGGTAGATGTTTCCATGCAGGTTGCTGCTATTGAGAGAGAGCCCATAGTAGACCATGGCCACAGAGATCCTGCAAAAAAAGCATAATCAAGACTCAGCAATACAAGTTTGTTTTACATTAGACAGCATAATTATTGCTACTAAAACATGCAACACAATATCTGGCATTACTGTATGTTTCCGGAAAGCCCATTACCATATGAAAACACCTAAAATTGTTATGTTCCTTATGTTATGGGTGCGCATCAAGTCCATGTAAGTGTATGTCTGCTCTTCTTCATCTTTATTTTGCTGAATTAGACACAGAAAGAAACAGAACATTATAGAGCAAAGTCGTCTGTCCACACTGAATATATAATAATTTCAGATTGCATGGTGGAAAAGTATTGTGTGATTTCTACAATTTAAGTTATATTTTATACTGGAGCACAATGGCTTTCATAGCTCAAGGAAATAAAAAAAAAAAATGGTACCATGAGCTCCAAGCAATCCCCAGCTCTGAATATGACCTCAGGGGCGGGGACTCTGTTCCACTGGGCAGCCTTACGTATGACAAGCTCAGCCTCCTCCACTCGACCTTTCTGCAAAAGCCAACGAGGCGACTCAGGAATCAAGCTGCACACACAAGAGCAGTGAAAAGCGTGTAGCAAAACATGCACCTCAAAACAAGATTTTTCCAGATTCAGTGAAAACACGTGTTATCTATCACAACTGTCACCCAAATGTCGTCCAGGCTGACTGACAACAGTGTTATCTTGTCTGAACTGATCGTGAGTGAACTTTGCTTTTGAGAAATTAGTTTCATGCGCTCGTAAAAAGGATAGTGAGGCTGGACTTTGTTTTATGTGTGTGCCATTCTGGTTTCTAAAAGAAAACGAAAGACTTATTGCATCACTCAGCAAAACCCTCAGTGGATTTGACAGCATAACAGTTTTCAGTAACGCCAGTTCAGTAATGTACGGATTTGATATACTGTGTGATACCAGATGTAACTAAATCTACATGTCAGAGTATATATGAGGAACAATTCTGAGGTTCATTAATTAAGTTCATTAATCTGTTTTATTTCATTATTCCTGTTTATTTAGATCCTGTACTGGGTTGGGTCCGTTGTTGTTTTCTCTCTCTCTGTCTGTGTGGTGGACACTCCTCCAGTATATAAACACTCCTGTCAAAAAGATATTTTTCACTGGTTTTGACTCTAAGCAGTCCTTTGGAAAACTACGTACAACCTGTGATTCAGTAGCTTGTAGAACCACCTTTAGCAGCAATAACTTGAAGTAAAAGTTTTCTGCATGACTTTATGGGTCTCTCATATCGCTGTGAAGGAACTTTGACCCACTCTTTTTTACAATGTTGCTTCAGTTCATTGCAGTTTGTGGGCATTCGTTTATTTGCTCTTTTAAGGTTTTGCCACAGCATTTCAGTCAGGGTGAGATCTGGACTTTGACTGGGCCATGGCAACACCTTGATTCTTTTGTTTTTCAGCCATTCTGTCGCAGATTTGCTGCTGTGGCTTCAATCATTGTCCTGTTACATGACACAATTTGGATGAAGCTTTATTTGTCCGACAGCTGGCCTCACATCTGACTTAACAATACTTTGGTATACAGAGGTGTTCATGGTCGGCCTAGTGATTGCAAGGTGCCCAAATCCTGTGGCTGCAAAACAAACTCAAATCACCACCCTCCACCACCGTGCCTGACAGTTGGCGTGACATGTTTGTGCTGATAGGTTATTTTCAAATTTCCCTAATTTGGCCTTGCCTGCCTAAAGGGCATTATTTCAGAAATCTTCTGGTTTGCTTTGATGCAACTTGCCCTTGAACAGTTTTTTATGTTATATATTAACACAAAGACAAATAAAACCAAAAAAAAAATAGATTCGTTTAGCTTGGCTGGTTAGATTGAAGGATAAATAAAAAATATTCTAATTCCTTACGCTGAGTGACAGAATATGTACATGTAATGTATCTGACTAAACAAAAACATTATCTTGCAGGCATTGACTGACTTCTGTTCTAACTCTGCATTCATCAAACGTTCCAGAGTTACTTTCACAGTGAAACCAAATAGTACATGCACAAATTTTGATGTTGCCTGCTGTAACACGTCTGTTGGTCTCCACTCACTGATCAAATATTTCTATAATGTATGTGAATATGTTTTATACTTTTCATAACAAGAAGCAAAGTTGCTGTTATGAGACATCCACATGCAGCATCACATGGAAATTGAGTTTAACAAGTAACTGTGGACTCAGTTTTCCAGTTTTGTTTAACAGGAACCTATAGCTACTTATTGACAAGGCTGGGCATGTCGTGAACACCACAAATATAAACAGCAGTTATGTGAGTTAGCTATGTCATTGTATCAGCTCCAGCTGCTCTGGTCATTTTCATCAGAGCACAATATTATATATGTTTTATTAGAGTTAACCCAAGAGACTCTTATGTTATGTTTTTGGTTTTTTTGTTGTTTTTTTTAAAAACAGCCAATAGCACTTACAATAATATCATGGTAAAATCTTTCCCCATTCAGATTTTTTACGTAACCTTTAACTGAATGCTAAAACCCGAATACTGACATGTTTCTCTAAAATTGCATTGCTAATATCGGATTAATGCACTGAAATGCAGGGGTGCACAAAGTCCTAATAAAATTCTCTGTGCACTGGTTACATGAATCATCATCCATTAGATTTACCACCACGTTGGAATAAATAGGAAGCCTGGGAGGGCAGCAGCAACCAGCAGCATCCTCCAGCCACGTATGAAGTAAGCAAAGAGGGGCAATAAGGCATAACCAAAGCCAAACCCAAGACTGTGTCCCAGCAGAATGTAGGTCACCCTGGCAGACTTACTCAGCATTTCAGAACCTGGACAAGACAAAGATGAAGGATTGGGCTTTAATGAAAGGAAACATGAGAGGATTGGTTTTCTGAGACAATGGCTTAAAGGAGTATTTTACTTTAGCCTAGAGCCTTGGAGATGAAAAGTAAGCTACAAAAAGCCAAAACGCCTTTCTTTCAAGGAGCACAGCCTTAGATCAAAAGGATGCTCCTTCAATGCTTGAGGCACTTTATCTGATTTCATGGAGATACCTCTGGAGCTGAAAAATACAGCTTTGTTCAGACAAACAGGAGTCGGCAATCATAGTCAGAAGAAATTAAATAATATAATAAATTATGGTTAGGATCACCACAGATGCTGATTAGACCTCTCGGGGTTAAAGAAACTTTTATGTAGACTTTAATTCTGCTCGTTCACATGAAAGCTTCTATTGGCTGACCTTTTATTTATAAAATTTCACCACAGCGGAAGGATCAACGTGTTTGGCACAATTTTTTTTTTTTACGCTGGATGATGTAACCCTACTAGAAACGTGTGTCTCCTCTGTGTTAGGTAAATGTGATATGTTTAACAAAAAGACAAGAAATAGTGATTAATGCTTCTTTAAACTGCCTCAACACAATACAACCAGGTTTTTAAGACCCAAAATGAATTGGTACAGCACAACCTTTCAATGGGTTTTGAACCACTGCCACGCTGAGGAACAGAAGCATGGCTCTGTGCTACACTTTGTTTCAGCCCTGGAGAATACATGCCGAGACTTCTTGAAGTGTGATAGGAGCAAATGGGCTGCCTTACCGAGTACGAGTGATGCAATGAAATTGGAAATTTGGCCAAGTCCTCTTAGACAGTTGAGGATAGTGAACATCACCCAGCTGACGGAGGTGACCTGGATCAAAGCGGTGACTGTTTGTAGGATCATAGTGAAAAAAAATACTGGCTTTCTACCAAATCTGTAAGAAAAGTTATGCAGAAATAGGGAATACAGAGATGTAAAGATGTAATGTCATGAAAACATAACAGTATCATAGTGAGTTTGGGCTGGTTATCAGTTTTACTTCTCTCTATTTTTTTGATTCTCTCAGATGGTATGGGTTTTAATTGTTTTCTGTCAGCACCACTGCTAAAAATTGTTTGGTTTCAGCTCATCAAATAATACATATGTAAATATATATATATATATAAAAAAAATTTAAAATAAAAAAAACAACCCAAATACCAATAACTAAAAGTGAAAGAGACAATCTTTACTTGTAGCTTTGCCTGCTTGTTATGAACTAAGAAAAAGATTCCCTTCTACCACAGTAGTGCGGACACTATGTTGCTCTGTTGCCCACTACCTGGATATTTAGACTGAATATCTGCTTCCAGATCTTTGATCCGTTTACCAAACAACTTGCTGAGACAAGCGGATCATAGAATCCAAACTGGAAACAAACACAAGCCTCAGATGACATGAAAACAGCTCTGCAGGCTTCAACCTCAAACCTGCAGAGTTCTAAATACACTCTTGATAGTTTTCAGCCAGGATATACATACTCACACAAAAGAACATGCACATTTAATACACAGACCTAAATTTAGGAGCCTCTTTGAGCCACACTCCTCCATCTTTCAGACTGCAGTATTAAATATTTTTACATGACTTATCTGTTCTGAAAACAATTTAACTCTCCTCCTAAAACTTTAAAGCAACTAGTTTTATTTGTAGGTCACTTTAGCAATCATATATCAAAAGCTTTTTATGATTTTTTTTTTCAATTCACCCAGGTAAGAAAAAAAATTTTTTTAACCTTTCCTCGTGAAAAAAAAAGAAGACAAAGGCAACTTGTTAAAGCCACGATATCTTTCAGCCTCCTTATCTTAACGTTTTTTAAACAAAGGCTGATTACATATTTTTATATGACAGACTTACCGGTCTGATAGATGTCCACTAATAAAAGATCCAATAAGTGCCCCCACAAAGAAGAAAGAGGTGGAGAAAGGGACTTTCCATGCATTGTCGCACACAAGATCCCACTTCAGTTAAAAGGAGAGAATATGGTTATTCGGGTTACGTTCAGACAAAAATAATAGAATAAAGTGAGTTTATTTCGAATACATGAAGCAATTTTTACATGTTTTAGCTCTCGAAGTCTTTTAATGTCACAGCCATACGAAACAATTCGTGTACTACAGGCTGACTGTCAGTGATCATTTAGGCAGTACTGAACCTCAGAAACGATGGTGGTGGTGTATTTGTCAGTGCTGAAAACCCAGCCGTCCAAACACTGTTCTGTGTCATTGAAGCCGGCTGCTTTTTCTGTCCAGTTTTCATTGAGCTTGTATCGAGAGCAGCTGCCCGGTCCCATCCAGCTGCCCCGGTCATGGAAACCATTCTCCTGTTCCCACTCTGTGCCGTTGCGCGAGGAGCTGTTTGGGCTTCTGCAATAATGTTCGGGTGTATCCGAAACAAAAACCACAATTACACCCATGTATCCTGCGGGCATTGTACTTACACTGAGCAGAACCATAACGAGAATTTGAAAGAGCCCGTAGTCGCCCAGAAAAGACGTGATTTCGTCAAAGTCTCTGATATTTCCATTTGACATGCTCGCAAAAAACCTGGAGGAGCGCAAGCGAACTGTTTCTAGAGAGTTGCTTTAAGATACCTTATGCAACATGTCAAACCAGACACGCCGTGCATAGACGTGTTAGAAATTAAAAAGAAAGAAAGAAAGAAAAAGAAAAAAGAAAAGCAGACACCTGCAGACTGTAACTGTACTCTTCAGTCATTGAATTGCTTTTGAACCTTTCATCCCACAAAGCACACTTTTCCTTCCTGGTAAAACTGGAAGGGCAGATTTTAACGCTTGCACAAGCGTATTTGGCTTATGTAAGGATACCATCTGCCACTAGACTACTTCTTTCCCTTACACATACTGATAACTCCCTGCTCGCTGAATGCTCGATGATCAATCGGGATTTCGGACAGCTGTCTTATAAACGAATCTGTTAGTTGTCAATGTTAATACCAAGCCTAGTTAGTCATAACAAGCGTTCACATCAACGTCGGAATAAAATGTATGATTGCCAGGAACTTCTCTTCCCACATGCTGCCGCAGGGTTAGAAACCATAAACACTGACTGTGAACGCAGAGAAACACTCTGTTCTCAGTTTTCCTGCTCCGTGCATCAAACACCAGCTCTCCAAATCTCAGTTCGTATAAATCCAGACTAAACACGTTTTTTTTGTTTGTTTATTTTTGTTTGTCACTGCCTTTTATTTAATTACATAATTACTAATTTTTATAAACAGCGCCATAACTTTTATTTAAAAAAAAAATCAAATTATTTTATGTTAATTTAACTTTTTTTAAATGTACATTTTATGTTATTGTTGTTGTTGCTCATATGACTATCTGTGGATCAAGCCAGATAACACACACAAGTTAGTTAAACTGCAGGAATGTCTTAAAGACATAAAGACCTAAAAATCTTAGAAATGCGGTTTCTAGACAGATGTCCATTCTGGATGGCATTAATCTGGCCTCCAGAAACACTGATAGGAATCTTGGAGTTATTTTTGACCAGGATATGTCCTTTAATGCACATATTGAACAAATAGGACTACCATTTGCGCAATATCTGTAAAATTAGAAAAATCCTATCTCAGAGTCACGCTAAAAAACTAGTTCATGCATTTAATACCTCTAGGCTGGACTGTAATTCGTTATTATCAAGATGTCCTGAAAACTCCCTGAAAATTGAATTCATCTAAAATGCTGCAGCGAGAATATTGACAGATACTAGAAAAAGAGAGCTTATTTCTTGTATATTAACTTCTCTTTATTGGCCCCTTCTGTGGAACCAGCTTTGGATTCAGGAGACAGACATTATCTCTACTTTCAAGATTAGGTTTAAAACTTTCTTTTTTTCTAAAGCATATAGTTAGGGCTGGATCAGGTGACCCTGAATCCTCCCTTAGTTATGCTGCAATAGGAGTAGGCTGCTTAATTATTTGTTATTATTAATCTCTGGCTCTCTTCCACAGAGGCTCCTTTATCCTACTCACCCCCATCCGGTGGTAGCAGATGGCCGCCCCTCCCTGAGCCTGGTTCTGCTGGAATCAGAATCAGAATGTCATTATTGTCGTTGTCACAGGTACAATGAAATTACAAGTGGCACGTTTCTTTCTGCTAAAACTGACTTTTTCGTTCCCACTGTCGCCTAAGGGCTTGGTCATCGTGTTTTTCTCTGTTTTCTTTGTATTATTGTTGGGTGTGTAGCTTACAGTGTATAGCACCTTGAGGCAACTTTTGTTGTGATTTGGTTCTATATAAATAAAACAGAACTTAATTGAACTGAATATGCATTACCTATGTAGCTGTACACACAGTAATGTATATTCCTACACACACATGGAAAGAAAGAGCAACGTGATGTGCTGTCCTTCTTGACTGTACCTGAATAACCTGAGTGAAGGTTCAAGTAGGGAGATGAGGGATCGGCTGCAGCAGGCCTGTAACTGCTAATAGCATTGCCCAATTTCTCTTTGAAAGTTTTGTAGCTCTTGTGCTCTCAGGGCAAATTCTCATACCAACCTCTCTCTTTTCAATGCCTCTGCGCTACTGGAAACATGCCTGTTAGCAGTAAACAGCAGTTACTTTGACAGCGCTACAGTGTACAATTAGGGACAGGACTTTTGAATATCCTTTGTTCACTTTAATTTACTTTCACTTTAGTCCACATGTTACACCTCTACAGAGTTACACAGCCTACAAATAGGCTTACTCAACTGAGTATTGCTGAGCAGGAAAGGTCAATAGAAAAACTTTACCCCTCAGTTTTTCTATTTCATGCTGTTTGTACCATGAGGTGAGGTTGAACCCAGACAAAAACGTGGACTATTGAGTAATGATAAGTTTACCATTTGCTCATTTAATATTACACTGGAACCAGACAAGTACATCTCTATGTTGGCAACCAACTTAAAAGTCCATAAGTGAATTAATGGACTAACACAATTGTACTTGATATACTAGCAGCTAAGTTTAATAGAAGCAGCAATACCACAGGAGCTGTGCGCACAACCACCACAAGATGGTGCAACCCAGCATGGATTCCGGTACAAAAGGTACACCGGCTCTTAAAACAGGTGATTAACAGAAGCAACAGAATGAAATAAACATCCAGAACAGGCTTTATATGAAACACAGAAGTCCAAAAATGCACTTAAAATATATATTGTTGACTTATAGTAATTTAATTACATATAACATTTTCTATGTGATTTTATTACAGAAGAACAATGTATTTGAATTTAATGGATTTTAGTATAATGAAAATGATGCGATTGGTACACCATGAATATTTCCTTGAATTGTATTAATTTATATATTTCCTTCCCTATTGATTTCTATATAGTCCAGTTACATTTTATTCAAAATTTTTACTTCATGAGGAAAGAATCTTTTTTTGCGTATGTAAATGCTGTGTCCAATACAAAATACCAGTTATGTAAACTGGAATAATTTATTTAAAATATGAAGGATTTAAGCATTGAAAAAACTGACCTCACTTATTACTTAGGGTTTAGTAACAAGGGGCAATTCACTTGTTCTAAAGCTAAAGTTCAGGCTCCTTGTAAAGGGTCACAACGTTAATCTTACCAGACTTTGGATGACTTAGATGACTTATTGGGGAAGAAAGAAGTTCTTGTGTACACATTTGATTAATTTGTCTATTTACTCCCCTTGAGTTTCAAACACACATTTGAATGAGGGAAATGAGTGAAGCGGTTAAACCGCTGACAAATCAAAGACATGAGAGCCGTGACATCAGAAAAGAACCCAGGTTAACAAATTTCCATAGGTACCAGAGCAGAGGTATAAAATGTATTTTATGTACACAACAATAAAACGGAAAACCCCTCAAATTTAAGTTAGTAACAAATCAGGTACCATCACATCCCCATCTTCCAATCCACATGCTGGCCACACCTTACCATTCTTTAGGCAGTGCTGTTGCCATGACAGTGCCTCTCTGGCCAGTCTATGGCGATGCCCTCTGACCCCTGGAGTGTTGACCTTTGGCCTGAGGGTCATCAAATAGGGTCAGGGGGTCAGCTCTTGCTAGAGGACAGTGAAAGCTCTTCACTGATTGGCTATGATTTGCCCTTTCCTTACCTTCATCTGGGTAACTGGCATATTGACCAAGTGGTCCTCTGCTTATTGTTAGCAGCTTTATCCAGTTTGCACAGAGTAGTGTGCAAGTGTGACACATATTTATGTGCCTGGCTTTTATTTTATACTTTGTGTATGTAAGCCTGAAAAAGTCATTGTTTTACCTCTCGCCTCCACCCATCACGCTTTCTTGAAGACCGAGTATGAGAAACACCTGATTAACTGCTGCACTTCTGCAGCCACCACTTACAGACTTAAGCTGCTGGGTAGCAACAGGGAAAGCCCTCATTTAGTAAGGAGCAGTTCAGCTTGGTCTCGTCTCTCTTTTCCTCTCCCTCCTGATGATCTATACCTTCTAAGCCCATCACTTGTCAATATCTTCACATTAATTTGAGAGAGACACTGTGTGGGGGCAGGGCAGTCTTAGAGGGCAGCGTACACGTTTGTGTGTGTGTGTGTGTGTGTGGGGGGGGGGGGGGGGGGTACACAGAGGAGACAAGGACACAGGAAGGAGAGAGCGAGAGAAAGAGAGGCAGGGGAAGTAAAACGGGAAAAAATAGGGCAAATGAAAGCTGGAAAAAGGATGAGAGAGAGAAGAGTGTGCATGAGAAAGAGGGAACTGGGCAAAGAGGCTATGTATTCCTCATCACTCTTACACGTGGCTTCCCTCAAATATCAACAGCCCCCTCCGTTTGTCCAAATGAGCCCTGCAGTCAGCAGGGTCCGTAATGATAATCGCTGTTTGAGAACTGAGGCCTAGCGTGAGGAGAATCCATCATTGTCTGTCTGCCATCAGAACTCCAAGCCTCTGCAAAGAGAAAGTGTTTTACAACTGAGAGCCATGATGAGAAAAGAGCTGTTGTTTTTTTCTTTCCCTGCACACACGTCATGCACACACACCAAATCCTGACAACAATCTCGGACCCTTTAACCCATCATGAAAGACTTCCGGTGGATAATAAAAAATAATGGCTTATTCAATAACCATTCAGTCCTCCGCTGCCGTCCTTTATACTCTGATTTTTCCAAGTACTCAGAGACTCTTCACCTCTGACCCCATCCTGTAGGGCTGGACCACACCAGGGAGCAACAAACCTTGTAACACCGTGACCCCTTTCTTGGTGACACACATACATGATACATGACACATACACGGTGGCTGTAGCTCAGGAGGTAGTTGGTGGTTCGATCCCTGGCTGCTCCAGTCTGCATGCCAAAGTATCCTTGGGCAAGATACTGAACCCCAAGTGATGTGAATGTTAGATCTAATTGAGGGAAGGGAATAAATCATGTTTTGCCTAAAAAGAGTAGAAAATAAGATATAGAAGAACCAGTCCATTTACTTGAGCGTAAAAAACAGGGATGCAGTATCATCCTTCACTGTCAAATGGGTTCATTAGCCCGGTCCTAATAGTTTTTGAAAAATAAATTTCTCTCTGTGTTCATTTTTTAAGACTAATTAACGCTGTTCTTGGCTCAAAGGGGACGCCCAAGAGACCGTTTCTCAGCACCTCTCATTATTTTAACAAGACCTCATTTCATTTATCTCCCCAAAGCTACAAACAAGACACACACCGATAAAACACA